GGGCCTGGCCGGCGCTGGCTGCCCCGTGGGGGGCTGAAATGACCGTGACAGCGTAGGTGGTGTGTCTGAAGCTCCTCGTGGTGGTTCTGCTTTTCCGGGCAAATGAAAAGGCTGAGTGCGTTTTGACTCCGTTGTTTTGTTTCATAATAGGTTGAGCCTTCTGATACTATAGAAAATGTAAAAGCCAAGATCCAGGATAAGGAAGGTAAGTTCAAGATGCACTTTATTATTCTTTTCTGTTGGATTGATGCGTATCTTACGCAGATGTGATTCTCTGCAGCAACCTATTACTTTATTATAAAATGTCATAGTTCACATTCCTCACTTAATCTTGATTTATGTCACCATCAGGCATTCCTCCTGATCAGCAGCGACTGATTTTTGCTGGTAAGCAGCTAGAAGATGGACGCACACTGTCTGACTACAATATTCAAAAAGTGAGTAGGAAAGGCTGAACAGAGTGTTGCAGTACCAAATAGCTGGCACTATCGGAGCAGACTGACCTTTGCTGTTGAGCCTAAGAAATGCTTCAAATGGATTCAAGTAAATCAGTTGATTAGGGTTGGGTAGTGCTTCTGACTGGGCAAGTGCTGATGCTAGGACTAGAACTGGCAGTTGCTGCAGCCCAGTCTCTAGTTTCAGGTCAGAAGAAACAGCTTCCGCTTCCAGTGCTTCCCTTCTGTCAACTCTCTGGTGAGCTGCTTTAGGGGGCTAATGTGAAAAATCCTGCCCACTTCTGCCAGATCAACCTGACAGCAAGGCCAGCGAGTGCCACTAGACAGGAGAAGCAACAAATAGCTGTCAGTTTGGCTTAGTTACATCATGAAACTATCCTGCAATTGCAGTTAGAAGTGAGGAATATAGTCAAAACAGATTTTACAGTAATTTAACCTTCTGGGGTTTGGAATGAGCAGCCCACTGTTCTCTGGAGCCTGCTCATTGAGAAAGCATTTTGAGTCTTGTTTCGTGTGCTTTACAAATAGGAATCAACTCTTCACCTTGTGCTGAGACTTCGTGGTGGTGCCAAGAAAAGAAAGAAGAAGTCTTACACTACTCCCAAGAAGAACAAGCATAAGAGAAAGAAGGTTAAGCTTGCAGTGCTTAAGTACTACAAGGTACGTAGAATTAACTCTAGGAGAAACTTGATGAAAACTTAGCTCTCACCAGGAAGGACATGAAGCCTGTAACTAGTCTGCATGTAGGCTGGCGTCTTTAAAGTCCTTCTATTTGCAAATATCCCACCTGTTAAATAGAAGAGAAACTGACTGTTGCAATTGGGCACTTTTGAATTTTGCTTCAAGAATTTTGATGTGGTAACTATCACGAAAACTACTTTGCCGAAGAAAAATACTCGAATTTATCATCGGTGCTAAAAGATGGTGAGTATGTATGAGATGTTGCCTTTTTGCCCTTCCCAGGTGGATGAGAATGGCAAGATCAGTCGTCTGCGCCGGGAGTGCCCCTCTGAGGAGTGTGGAGCTGGAGTCTTCATGGCTAGTCACTTCGACAGACACTACTGTGGCAAGTGCTGTCTGACATACTGCTTCAATAAACCAGAAGACAAGTAAATGTACTAGACAATAAAAATCTAAAGTTCTGTACGGTTTAAGGATTTATTTCTGCTTCCTGTCACACTGTATTTCTTCTCTGCTGATAAGCAAGAAAAATCTGTGAAAATTTTGGATGCTGACTGCAAACTAGGATGAAATACTTTGACTCTTAACTGAAGAAGAAACTTTGTGGTTAGTTACATCTCCTTCAAAGGAGATAATGGGTAGCAATGGCAAAGAAAAAAGAACACCAACATTCTAGCTACCCTTAGAAGCGGTCTCTTTAAACATGAGAGGAGTAGACAGTACAGTAGTTCTAATCTGGGAAAATAGGAGATCAAGAGGTCCGAAATCATGTCTACAAGTGGGTCAATGCCAGAGCAAAGGGTAGTAGAGTCCTGCTAACAAAATGCAGACTACATACTGAAAAATTGTACAGCAGCACTGAGGGGGAGAAAGAAGATGGCTCAGCTGTTTTGGAGCCAATAGTCATCAGAAATAATTATACCGTGATGGTTTTAGACACTTGAAGTGCTTGCAATTAATTGTTGTAGTTTATCCCACGTTCCAATGAGGTAAGCTGGTTTCTTGACAAGATTTAAAAGCAGAACATTGTTATATAAACATCAGATATAAAGAAGCTCACATGCATCTCTGAAAGTTCATTTAATGATACAAGTTGAAGGCCAGCCAGGAATAATACGTGTCCTTTAGTGTCAATGTATTCAAATGTATTTTAAAATCCTGGGTCCCAGGAAGTTGTCTGTTGAACTTCTTTTTCTTCATAACAGATAATTTCATCTCCAATATTGAATTCTATGTACTTGTCCAAACTCAATCCACAATCCATACCCGTTTTTATTACCTGGACATCATCTTTATGATGCCTCAGTGATGATAGAAATCCTACAAAGAGAAAGTGTGTCAAAGAAAGAGCCCACTAACACCAAAGCAGAGAAGTGTTTTGGTTTGCCCTCCTTACAGAATTAATGTTTCACCTTGTAGCTACAAAATGAAGGGAAGAAAATGTAGGGATTGTGAGCGCTTGCAGCTAATGAAAGTCAGACATCAGTCCTTTTCAGCAGGTAAATCCCGTGATGCTACTGCTTTCCTAGCAGCGTTGGTAGTTAGAAAACAGTCTGGATAACGGTACAGTGACATTTTGCAGCTTTTCTCTAGTTGGAGCAACTCCATCCTAAATAGCATATGGGGTTGCTCTATGATCAGACGCGTACATTTTGCACTAACTTCACAGGGAACTAGCAGCATCTAATACTGCATGCAAATACATGTTTTGTGGCCATTACACTTACCTCTCCAAATAACATCCCCGTTACGGATTAACTTAAATTTCATTTTTTTGTCTAGCAGCCCCTTCTGTACTCTGCATCCAGCTACTGGAATTTTGTTTTTTCCTACTGTTACAGAGAAGACATTGAGAACAGAAGCTTCCCCTAAAAGAAGAAAGTTGTATGAAGTACACGAGAAAAATGAACTGGCAATAAGTAGAAGCAAGCTACACCCTTCTACTTACCAAGCTTTGTAGCAAAACAGAAAAGCAGCTACAGAGGAATATAAAATACTTGACATTGAGAACAGAAGCTTCCCCTAAAAGAAAAAAGTTGTATGAAGTACACAAGAAAAACGAACTGGCAGTAAGTAGAAGCAAGCTACACCCTTCCACTTATACCAAGCTTTGTAATAAAACAGAAAAGCAGCTACAGAGGAGTATAAAATACTTGGTAAAATAAGAACACTTCATTGGAGAATAAACTTCAGGCCACATGACGAAGCAAAAATTTAACAGTCAATGAAAACTCACCTATTGTATTCTCCACCACAGATGGGGGTAGTCTGCTATTTAGCTCATCTTTCAAGTCTTCAATAAGTTTGTAGATGATATTGTGAAGTTTAATTTTTATTCCCTTTTTAGCAGCCAGCTGTTTAATACTTTCATTGGCTTTCACACTGAATCCAAATACAACACCTGATAAATAAAACAATCGGCAAGTGATGACTACAAGAGATCACTCTTTAAACAGTAAAGTGAAAGTGTCTGCTGTAATACTGAACTTGCAGAACAGGTTACAATTAGGATGATATTGTGAAGTTTAATTTTTATTCCCTTTTTAGCAGCCAGCTGTTTAATACTTTCATTGGCTTTCACACTGAATCCAAATACAACACCTGATAAATAAAACAATCGGCAAGTGATGACTACAAGAGATCACTCTTTAAACAGTAAAGTGAAAGTGTCTGCTGTAATATTGAACTTGCAGAACAGGTTACAATTAGCAGTCAGCAAAACAAGAAACAGCATTTTATCACTGCTTCACTTTTAAGGAGGAACCATTTACTTCTCCCACTATTGCACATCGACTGCTACTCACCTTGTATCAAAACAAATGGCTCAAAAAAGCCCTCATAGAAAGCTCCCTGGTGACAGAACTGGAGTTGTCAAAGCAGAAACTAATGCTTACACACAGCTCACCAGAGCTTACGCAAAGGGACAAGGATCTCCCATTTTGGGGCTGGAAAACCAGCTTGGTTGTCCAAATTAAGCTGGAAATGAACTCTAAATCATTCTCATCCACTGTGGACTATGTCAGGTCCAGTGACCCCACACCCTCTACAGCAGGTGAGAATTACGGGGTATGAAGAGGAACAGCTACTGACACAGTCCTTCCAATTACCTCCCTGAGCAAAAGGAAATTCTTTTGTAACCTACTTTTCTAGCTTTCCCCTTCACTCAAGCAACCTGAGTGAAGAGTCAAGAGTTTAACAATTCAACTACTGACACTGGCTCGTCAAGAGTCCTTCCATTTTCATGAGAACTCTAGCCTTCCCCGCCTGCGCTACTGTTTGATGTTAAAGGAAACATTTTTAAGATACATGTAAGTTTACCTTATTGGTGCTGCTAGTTATTGTTGAGAAAACAAAACCAGAATGAGACCTACCCATTTCAATAAAGAGTTTGTACTAACTGTAAATTGATTTTTAAATGCACACTCACCATTAAATGCTTCAGCAAGACTTATATCAGTTTCACTGATGTCTCCCATTCCAAAATGAATGATATCCAATTTACATTCATCGTCAGCATCATAGCTGTCCAGAATGTTCAGAATAGCTTCAACAGATCCATCCACATCACCTGTGTGTAAAAATGGTAGTGCTGCTGACTTCGTATACATCAAAGAAACACTGAGTAGAACTAAGGGACTGACAACTCCACACTATGCAACATAAAATCTTTTGACACCTACCATTCTTACTATATTTGCAGTAGTATGTTAAAACACATCTAACAAGTCTATTAATTCCAAAAATGAACTAAATAAATACAATAGACCCAGAAGCTCCACATCTGCTGTCATTTTCAGGGCAAGTTTGCACAGTTTTTCAGTTACTACCGTCACTGCTTACATACCACTAAATGTGAGGTCAAACCAAGTTCCTCCTGTCCCACTTTAACTAATACATAATTGTCCTTATCCTCCATTTTGCTGATGCAGTACTACTGCTCATATAGCTTGTATTTTTTTTTCTAACATATATTTTTTTAATTTACATATATATATAGGCACTTTTATGGGTTTTACTCAGGAATTCCTGGGTAAAAGAGTTGGGCTCAAATTCTCCTGTTGCTCTGGCCCTGCTGGAAGCACATCCTTCTGACCACTGGATGTTTTCTGATGCCCCTCCCCTTTACTGAGAGAAGTTCAATAATCTGTTCAGTTTTAAACTGATCAAACTTCTGGTAACAGAAATTTTGTTAATAGTTTAGAGCTATACTTCAGACTGAGCATTTGAGAAGCACAAAAACAATGGAGCAGCAAACAGAATAAGACAGCACCTTTAACAATTACCGATAGCACATTTTTGTCCATCTCTGTTCTCTCTTTAGGCTTTGAAAACATTAGATGCTTATTGGCCTTGTACAGCACCGCCTTCCTCTGTCTCCAGGTGAGATGGGCTAGCTTCTGTTGCTTCTTCTCGTATTCCATCCTGTGTTCCTTTTGCTTTGCTTCAATAACTTCCACATCCCTTTTCATCCTCTCCTGTTGTTCAACATAGGTTCTCCAAGCCACAACTTCATGCGCCCTTTGCTGAGCAGGAAGAGACAGAAACATTGCCTTTCAAAGCACTGCATCAGAAAACTCCAGTTTCATCCTTTTGCATCTTCTCTACAGGCTCACTCATTTTCTTTCACATTTAACAATAGATTTTGCTGCAAGGATGGCAGAGACTGAGCACAATGAGCACTCCCTGGGCTACAACATGACTCAAGGCCTATTTTTATGGTATCTCTGCATTGAAGAAGAGAATTTTTGTTCATTCTTTCATGTGGTATTCGTCCAGCTCTCACAACACCTATTTCAAGCTATACTTTATGCGTATTCTTTTGTCAGAAACTAGTTTTCTCATTCTAAAATTAAAACACTGATACCATTAAGAACTGGATTGTTCCCTCGGTAGGGTGATAGTGTGATCATATAAAAGAGAAAAGTCTTCTGTGCCTTTAGAAAGGGAACACGTTAGAACATATCCCAGATTACCCCAGCAGAAGCCATTCAGGACTGCGGTCATTGCAAACAAAGCATGGAGGAAGGCAGGATGACCATGAGAAGCAAAAGCATGAACCAAAGGTGACTCATCTTTGATTCCAGAGGCAGCCTGCTTTCCTCATGTGATTGTAAAGCAGGTTAATCTGGATGCATGGAGAGGAGAGGACAGTCCGGCAGGGGAGAGGTGGGGGCATTGGAAAATAAAGAGGCAACATGCAAATCCTCACTCCTCTTACAGAACACCTAGCTCAGGCCCCTTAATACCTATGCTTGGCCTTCGTCTTTCGTCAGATTATCCAGGTTATTTAGAATGAAAGCTATCACTTATTTTTTACTCAACTCCTTCCCATCCACCTTACTGCAGTGTAAGTTTTCCATTGAACAGGTCTTTCTGTACCTCAGATTCTACTTCAAGGATTTCATCTCCTGCCGAAGGGACTTCCTTCCAGCCCATGATTTCCACTGGGATGCCTGGAGAGGCTGTATCTACAGCTTTGCCATTCTCATCAAACATGAAACGCACTTTTGCCCAGGTCTTCCCAGCAACCAGAACACAGCCTTTTCTCAGAGTTCCTCTTTGGATGATGGCTGTGGTAACTGGACTAGTGAAGAGCAGAGGAGAAAAATAACAGACAAAATTAAAATGACTCTTCTCCCCATTTTCATGGTTAGTGTAGGTAAGAAAACACAAAACAGAACGTGCTTGTGATCAATCACAGGCAGAATATTCCTGTGACACATTTTATTAGAGTGCTAATAAAATTTTAAAGTGACTTGCAAAAAGCCCAAGACCTGTACTGTACTCTTTTAATTTCTGCAGATCAATACAAAATTTGGATTTGTGAAATCAGCAACAGACTGATTTTACACATTAAGTGACCCCCCACCAAAAAAAAACCCCAAACCCCAACAACTTTCTAGAATTCAGTTCATTTTTAAAGAGGGCAGAACACACCTTGTTTACAGAGAACCTGCAAAAGCACTAAGACATTTAAAAGAGTACAATGTCATGTTACACACAATTCGCCAAAAATTGTGTATGTATTATGACCATTAACTTCATCATTCATACTTTTTAATGACATTTTAAAAAATACATCTGTTCTAGCATTTTAAACTATTTCCTGTGCTTACAGGATTTCATTTCAGTCATATGATGAATTTTGCCCTTTCAGTTCATAACTTCTTTTTCCAGCTCTCATGCTGTAGAATAACATTTCAAGGCTTTAGTTACAGACACTGCAAAGAAACTGTTACAAGTTTATCTAACAACAACAACAACAACAACAACAAGTTCAATGTTAAACATAAATATTGAGTTACAAACTACCTGAACAGCATCTCTGCATTGTTACAAATCGTTTCATTAAAATTGTAAAGGCGGCAGATTGCTTACCCTTTCCCTTTGTCTTTGCGAGACTCAATTATGGTCCCCTCTACCAGACCTGTGGAATCTGCCTTCAGTTCTAACATCTCTGCTAAAGCAACAGTTGCTTCTGCTAAAACCATGAGGTTTTCACCCTGCATAAAACCATACACGTAAAAAATATAAAGAATAAAGGAAATGCCAAGTGCCCAATTAAAGTAAGATCAGAAGTTGAAATCTTAGTGCCAAATTCCCCCATCTGATTCAGAACTTCTAACAATGCGATACAGTCCAACAGCACAGACCCCTTTGCCTTCAAGGCAAGATGGCACTAAAGCAATGAACTATTAAGACCGCTGTACTGCCGGTCCAGAAGGCACGAAACATTAGGAAGGACAGTTTCCTTGCTTCTCTATTCACAGCATCCAGGTTACAAATGCAGAAAAAGACCTTGCAATATTCTGCTACAACTAGATTAGGAATGCATATTAAAAAAAACAAAAAACCTACCAACCCCTCTCCCCCCCAAAAAAAAAACCCAAACCAACCAAACACCTAAACAGCCAAATTGAAACTTGATGACACCTACCACACAGTCAAGACTCCAGGACATCAAAGAGACAAAACTGTTGGTCTGTTTTCTTTTTTTTCCCTTGTTCTAATTACATTTTATTTTTGAGAACAGATACAACGAGTTAGCTGTCAATCAGCAGATCCAGATCTACAGGAATTAGGGCAACAACATGTGCTACAGAGGTGAATGGAGAAGCCATTTTTATGTATTCCTATTTTTAAGTGCAAAGGCATGAATTCAAAAGGTCTTGAACTTGCCTGAAATTTTAGAAAATTACTTGGGATGCATTTATAAAGACAGCAATAAGCCTACAATACTGCTGCATCAGTTTGGACAAAGCTGCTTTGGCCACCACAAAACTAAAAGTAAGTACTAAAGTTCGGATTTCAGTTCAGTTTTTAGCTATCAGTTGTTCGCAAGGATAAGATGGTAGATCTTGTAAGACCACTACAAAACTATGTTCCTGTGATTAGGCATGTGTTATGAAAATATTTTTTATTTACCCTTTTTTGAATTTCTCCCCTCATGCATAGCATTACTACCAACCTTGATTTTGCACTCATTTCATACAATGAGCAAATATATGAGGAAACAGCAATTAGGATGAACCTGAAAAATATCCACTAAATTTCCAGAAGAAAAATGAGGTATTGTTGCTCAATGAAGGGCTGAGCCTCAAAATATGACAGGAGTATGTTTCAAATAATTCTGGAGACAGCCAGCAGCACTTAGCTCATGGTGTCAAATACCAGGAAGATAAACACTTATTTTCCAGCTGCCAAATAAAAATGCAGCTGTATGCACATATTAGACACACATGAACACCATCATTTTTTCCATCAAAACTTTACCTTGAGTGCAGAAATATTTACAGCTTGAACATCACCTCCAAACTCTTCACAGACCACGTCGTGAGCCAGCAATTCCTTCTTTACTCTTTCAGGATCAGCTTCAGGTTTGTCACATTTATTAATGGCGAGGATAAGGGGAACTAAAAAGAGAACAAACAAACTCATTACTAACCTAACCAAAACTTGTTGCTACTAGCACAATTGCAATAAAAGGTTAGAGCAGGTTATGACCACTTAGAACAAATCATCACACTTGGTGCCTATTCCCGGAGCAGCCATTGAGATCTGAGCTACCATGAGTAAGCTGGAGGAGTTATCCTGGCAGGGAAGGGAAAAAAACCCCAACAATAAACCCCACACTCACACCCTATGAGCGCTTTTCTTGCAAACCTGCAAGTCCTGCAAAAGTATTAGTATTTTAATATCTTTATGTATTACTGCAACATTCAGTATATGTTCAAACACCTTCCCAGGGGAGAAGGAACGGGACTATGACAGTTACTTCCCAAGTTTTGTGGATTCCAATGCAAGGAGTTTCTTTTGAGAGGTGAATAAACGTTTGCAAAGCACTCATTATTTGCGCTGCATAGTAACGCACATCTTGTACATTAACTTTGTGTACTGGCCTTGCCTCTCACTTCAAAATGTAATTTAACAAGTTAAACACCTCCTGCATTTTTAGCATGTTGAATGGATTCTACAGTTTGTTGCATCACTCCATCTTCTGCCGCTACAACCAGTATGACGATGTCAGTAACATGGGTACCTCTTGCTCGCATGGCTGAAAAAGCTGCATGTCCAGGAGTATCAAGAAAAGTTATCTTTTCCCCAGAAGGCAAATGCACTGTGAACAAATGTATACGGTGCATTTTAAAATCAGCATTTCACATAGCTTTATTTGACCTACTGCAAATCAAGCATCACTCCTTTGAGAACTTCTTTAATAATAATGACATGTTTTAGGCAGACAGGTAACTGTTGGCATGGAGGTCAAAGGTGCTTTTAATTCCTCAGGAAAGAAAAAGTGTCCTGGGATCTTTCATAATCCCAAAGACTCTAAATATAATCTCAACTGCGCAGACAATCCACTTCAAAGTTCCATCCACATATTTATGACAGTTATCACAAGTTATGATTTCCTTTTTCACTGCTTACATATAAACTCTTTATGTTGCAACATTTTTCCCCAATGAACTGGCAGCAAGTCAGCCCATTATACAAGACGGAGAGTAAACTGTTTTATACACATGCATGTACACTTGAATCATACCAAGAAAAGCACCAATGTGTTGTGTAATGCCTCCTGCTTCCATTGATGCCACTTGAGTTTTTCGTAGACTGTCAAGTAAGGTTGTTTTCCCATGATCAACGTGGCCCAATATAGTAACAACCGGGGGCCGTGGGGTTAGTACTGCTGGGTCTGCCGGAGGCCTACAATTAAAACAAAAATGTGTTTTGTAAATACCAAAAAAGTTCACTGAGTGACACACATGCCCGCTGTGGCTAACGAAGAGCCATTTACCAGAACTCAGTGATGAACAGGTGAGCCTAGCTTCTCCCCACTGTGGTCACAAATCCTAGCTACACCACACAGCTAGCCCTCTTAGTTCTCAGTCTTACTGCTGCATCAATTAATACAGCAATTCAGTATATCAAAGAAGAATTGGCTTTTCTTCAGAAAACGGCATAGAAAAAGCTCACCTAAAACAAATCAAATCCGAGTATCAGTTTTATGGCCGAAGAAATCAAAATAGTAAACTTTACCTTTCAAATATTATCAGATTGTGACTATATCAGGTATTATCAACATATCATCAGAACAAAGAAAGTATATGAAAAACACTTGCAGAAACAACTAGGATAAAAAGCGCCAAAAAGAACAGTTCACAACTTACCTTTTCACAGCATCTGTGTTTTCTCTTTCTTTCTCCTCTTTCAGTTTTGCTGATTTATACTTCATTCCTGATTTTTTAACAATTAGCTTGATATGGTCTTCATGTAAGATGGAATCTGGTTCTAGTGAATCAATGTCAGTGTCTGTGTATAGCAACGCTTCATAAATATGATCTGTAGAAAAGATAAAGACATTTAACAATTACATCCGCAGAAACGTGGGACAAAAAACCCCCCACTTCATACAGTTTAAGACTTTTTCATTACTAGTTTATATCGTGCTAATAAGTTTCATTCACAAAGCATTTTTCCTTTAATTAGATTTATCTAAAAGTTCCTGTTACGCTACATACTTGCAGAGAATAACTTGATTGGGGAAGATTTACTGAAAATGACTGCCTTGTTAGATGCTACAATCTTATTTTTCACTCAGATTTTTGTAGCCTACTTTTCCATTAACGCCTAAGAAGAAAACGACTGAAACTCATCTAAACCAAATAGCAAAGAAGTGGAAGGAAATTTGAGGAATATGCCACTTGGAGGAATATGCCACTTTTTTGAGGAATATGCCACTTTCTTTGGTAGTAGAAATACAGAACATACTGCAAGTCAAAAATTGTTACATGCTGACCTAAGTACCATTACAAATCTATCCCAGAAATGTACAGCAAGACATGACAGACTTTTCTGCTTCTCTCCACATTGCTGAGAGGGAAGTTTGCCAGAAAAAGTACCCAGCTGGATAAAAAGAGATTGGAGATTGATATTATACATTTCAAATATCCATAGTCAAAACATACTAATAACCCCCCTAAAACATCATTGAAAACTGGTCATGCTGAGCCACTATACAACCAGGAATCGTTCATGGGGTTAAAAGAACAAGCCCGCTTCTGTAACCCACTTATTAGGGCAGTCACCTAAAGAGAGGAGTGTTTCCAGACAAGTCCTGCCTGCTCCCAGTTCATCAAATGACTGTTTTAATGAAATACATATTGCTCCTGAATCCAAGATTCCTGCTCCCAGGGCTGGATTACGGGCTGAAGCTCTTTTGCACCTTCTCTCTTTAGCCATGAATTCTTTACTCACAGGGGTCCAGCTTCGACAAGCCAAGGTGCAATGTTTTACCTTCCAGGATAATTTAGCACTTACGAAACACAGTCATAAAGAGCCGCCTCCATGGATCTGAAGCCTTTCTGCTAGAGACGGAAGAGAGTTCTTCACATTAAAGTGTCTTGCCTGGTAATTTGGATGGCACAACTTTTTTTCTCTTTAGTCTGCCATTGTGTCAACCAACATTTTCTTTGGTATGGGTACAATCTACCTTGCTAAGGGAGGAATTAGCAACCACTAACTAATGCCATCGCAGACATCTTTGCCTTTATCACTCATGAAAGCAGCACGATAGATTTTAACTGTGAATGAAACTGTGAATGAAACTGTGTTTCATTCGATCTCAAACGACAGGGCGGGCTCTCACCTACGTCTTTATCCATAGCTCGTGCAAGTTCCTCAATAGTCATCTTCTGCCTTATCTCCACTTCACCTTTTGTCAGTGGTATCTTCTTTTTCTTCTTTTTTGTCTCCTACATGGAATTAGACATGTATATAGGAACACATAGCTGGCATAAACTAAGAAATAATAAAAACAATATTAAAAAGACAATGGTCTCAAGTCGTATGATGTAAACACATCTTTTTTACTACAATACTAATGAATTACAATAAATGAATGACTTAACACATCATACTGAATATTTAAAATGTACAGCATACTACACGTAATCTTTTTTCATTTTTAATTTTTCAAAACAAGGGAAAAAAAATTCAACAGAATAATTTTCGGGTTTTTTTGTAATAATTTCCTCCTGCCTCTGCAAGATTCATGATGCTGCTGGTATAAGCACTTAAAGTCAGTATTTGAGAGGGAGTCACAATACAGTCATACATCAAGTACATTTTGTCTCATAAATGTAAAGTAACTTCTCTATATTCATTAATAAAGCTTTTTTTTTTTTTGTAATTAAAATGCTCAAACTGAGCTCTTGTACTTTGAAATTTCACATAAAAACAGGGATTATTGGATTTTGTCAATTACCTCCTTTGTAGCTAGATGCCTGTGTTGCGATAAGGCAATACTGATTAACTTGTCTTTTTGCCAGAACTGCGGATACAGAAGAAGGGACCACACGGGATGCGCAGATGACTGCACAGGCTTCCATTGCGCTCTGTAAAATTTTCTGTAGGAGAGAGTACGCAGCTGCCGGCAAGCACCACGTAACTGGACCAGATTTTCAAACTTTAGTATCAACCCTCGATTCATTTCCTCACTGAAAAGACAAAAGGACACATTGAAATCAGTCTCAAAGCTGAAAGATACTCTTTCCTATGATAATACGGACAGGAACACAAGGGACAAAAGTTATGTTTCAAAACAGGCTTTTTCATGCTGAAAAAGTTCAACTATTTAGTAACTGTTCCAGTTTTTCAGTTTCCTTAGGTGCTTCACCTTTCTCCACTATCCCATTGCAGACACACAGATCTACTATTATCTCCACAGCTTACAAATCTTTCACCTATCTCCACTGATCTTTAATATAAACTACTAAAATCCCCATTTCAGGTTCTTTGATGCTACCTAGAAGAAAAGGGGACATTTGCACGGCTCGTGCTATACTGATAGAGTTATCCAGGTGCAGCCCACCTCTCTAAGCCAGTAAAACACATTTGCAAAATGCCGCTTACTTGAGCATATACCACCACTAAAAGACTGTAGCACTGTAGTAATACCAGTGTTGTCACATGGACAGAGACGTCCTTTGAGGGTAGGCCCTGGCTTAGCAATTAAGCTTTCCAAGATGCTTCTATCAGATCATCCCACATCTTGTTTTAACCATATTAACTTTGGTTTGAGTCATTTTGCTAACTACCCTGTACAACAGTCTCCTATTCGAATTTCTCTTTTTGTTCAGAGTTGCCTATTTTGTCCTTCTGCTCAGTGATGCCATGCTCTATACCCTCTCGGTCTTCTCTCAAAGGCTTTGTACCATCTCCCACGCAGCTCCAAATGAGTGAAATGCTATCAGTTCCTCTCAGAATTACTGCGGTCCCTTTAAAAACTCTCTTGTATCCGGATACCTGCAGGAAGTGAGAAGGTGACAAACTAACCAACCAAAAACAACTACTTCCCCCCCCTCCTCCCCTCCCAAAAGAGAGCTTTGAAGGGGCAGAATCGGTAAAACCGAGGAACCCCCAGGAACTGCCACAAGACGCTGCATACACAGAAAACTAACATAAGGTCAAGGCGAGACTGGACAAGCTCACAGAGGAGAAATCCACGCGAGGCTGCTAACTGCAAAGAAACCACTCCTGGCTCTCGGGGCCCCTGGGTCACCAGTGCCCGGGACAGGCGCACCCCTCTAGCTCGTA